GTTTTCTGCGCTCGCATGTTGACCTGAGAGGAGTCGATGCTGGACGAGTCTAAACTCTGGATAAACAACTGCACATGAATATTTACAGCATCAGTAAAGAGTCTGACTCGCACTTATATACTTTTTCTTTTGTCTTTAACTTTTGTACTTTATTTAGTTTTAGTGTTTGGTGTCTCAGCTTGTGTTGTTTTAAGGAGTTATGAGTAATCGTGAGGTCAGTGGCAACATTTGAATCTAAATTATTTAAGTTTCACGACGTTCAGCTTCGTGGTTTTTATGTAAACCTGCACCAGTGCCCAGCCCCTAGTTTACACAGATGGGATCTGACGCCATGTAAGGAAACTTTTGGGTGTTAAATCTGCTGCTCAAAGTGTTTGAAGTCCGATTAAAACCCACAAACATGACATTGTTTTTGTTTCGTACACGTTGTGGGGACTGCCGAGGTTTACGGGTCTTGACGAGGTCAATCGGAGGTGTTTTTGGAGTGTACGCCTGCACAATAACCACGATGTTGGCGTGCTGTCCACGGAGCGTTTGTAACGTTTGACTCTTTGTCTTCCTTCCAGTTTGTCGCTCTCGAAGAAGTAAGAAGCTGCTTTTCATCATTCCTTCAGTTCTGCTTCTGCAGAAAGAAAACCCTCCTGTCTTCTCCCGTCTTCTCCCCGCCGGCCTCCCACATCAGGTTCATCGGTGATCCGCTTCGTTTCCATGACACCGAGCCTGACTTTCATATCTGATCATGTAACATTTACAGACGTTTTTCTCCTTTTTTGTAGAATCAGGAAAAGCTTTTTATTTGTGAACACTTCCTCTCTGACGCAGCCTTCTGCTTTTCGAACTTCCTCTCATGAACACGTTTCATCAGCTTAATTTATGCGTGACCTGGCGTGCAGCACGGTGCTCAGAGTAACAGTTTGACGTGTCGCTCTGAACTTTTCAAACACTATCAGAACGTTTTTCTGTTACTTTGTCAGAAAACTCAAACAAACAAACTCTGGTCTCCGGCGTTAAAGCCGCCGTTTGCGTCTGACGTGTGATCGTAGATGCAGGCGTGTTGCCGTCGATAGAACGAGTCCACCTGTCCGTGCTGACGCAGTCCGACAGGGAGCAGGTGAGCGCTTCGGCCTCGCGCCGCCTCGCGTGACGACTCAGTCCAGAGGCTTCCTGGACGCCGTCGGCAGGTCAGCGCTGCGGTGAGTCAGCGCTCGCAGCAGCTTTTGTTTTGTAACACTTCAATAAGCGTCTCATTCAACATAAAACCTCAAACCCTGCTGAGTCACCGTCGTTAATGCCCGCCAGTATTTGTCAGCGCCGCCTCTAACACACCGCAGTTTGTTTGTATGAATGGATCCGTCTCCACGTTTGAGCACTTACACGATTTATACTGAATAAATATGAAGTTCTTTGACTTGCTGCAGTCACATGTTTTTATTCACTCTCCTTCTGCTCCACCGGTGGATGTTAAACACAGTGAGGTGACCACAGGCCCAGTGTAACAGGAACACTGGTTATTTTGAACTGTGAAGCCTGCAGAGCTAAAACACGCAGCTCTTGATACTCAGCGTAGACGGTCTTATTCAAAGGACTTTGCTCCACTTCGCACAGCGAGCCACGAACGTCTGTAATCTGTAATCTTAGAGAAATTCCTGCTCAGGTTTTTAAGACCAATGAGAGCAAAGCTGCAGCAACACCGTTGATTTCACAGGTTTGATTAAAGTCCTTGGTCAAGTCAAACATGTTAACTGAACATGAGAAAGTGTGAACGCCTATAAAAGCAAAGGTTTGGGCAGGTTGCAGATGTGGG